TTTAATAACAAAGCTGCAGCAATCTGGACACTTTTCATTAGTATTCACTTGAACTTGTACACACTACTACGGTACTGTGTTGGACCCCTTCAGGAACTTCATTCTTCTAAAAAAGTGTTGGAAACATTGACATGATGACTGCACATTTGTCGGCTGCACATCCATGATATCCGTGACATCCCAAAGATGCTCTTCCGAATTGAGATTGGTTACTGTGGAGGCCATTGTCATGTCCAAGAAACTGGCATAAGATGATTTAAGCTTTGTGACTTGGTCTTTCATCCTCCTGGAAGAAGTCATCAGAAAGTTCACTGTAGCGTAGATATGATAGCAACAATACTTAGACAGACTGTGACACTTAAATGATGCTCAGTTGATACTAAGGGCTCCAAAGTGCAAAGAAAACCCCCACAGCATTACATCACCGCCATCAAGGGAGCATAAATCTAGGCTTTTATGTTGTTTACACCAAATTCTGACCCTAGTGTCTGAATATTGCTGAAGAGATTGAGATTAATCAGTTTTTCAGTCTTATATAGTTGAATTTTGATTTGATTTGATACCTTTATTAGTCCCACAAGGGGAAATTTCATTTCATAAGGCTACCGACCTATTGCACGCAATGGCGGCGCCATCTTACCCTCCGACCATACATACATTACACAAAACATCACATGGGGAAGACAGGTCAGAGAGGTATAACAATGGAAAATGCACCACATGAGGAAAGATAAGGAGAAAAAAATAACTCCCCCCAGACTGAGCTCCAACAGGGAGATCAGTTTGAGAACAGAAAAAAAAACACCTCTGCACATGAAAAAACTCTTAATACACCAAAGAAACACATGACAAGCAACAGGTGAGGGTAAAGGGTGAGGGACAGCAGATTTAGACAGTACATCCGGGCCTGCAGCCTGTGCGCTGGTCTCCTTGATCCACCGTCAGCATCGGAAGGGAATAAGCATCGAAGGCGTTTGGAAAGGGAGGGGGGATGAGTTTGTATACGTATGTGTGTGTGTCCAGAGTTTAGCTGAGACAGTGTCCTTCGCCCTGCTAGGCTAAGTAAACAGTCTTTCAGCCAACCCAGGTGGTCTTGCATAGAATGGGAAGGAACAGTCTAAACACAGTCGTTATCAGGGTGTTCTTTGTTCGGCTCCAGCCTTGCGACCGCAGCTGGCGCCGAGAGGGTATCCGCATGAAGTGATGGTGCTTTTTACTTTAGTGCGAACAACTCATATGAATTTCAAAGCTGTTCTAACAGTCCAACACTGGTCTCTCAATCTCCCGTTGGAGAGCCGCGAGCTTTCTATGATGTTATCCAAACTTACGTTCCGTGATGTTGTCATTCTTTTTGCTCAAAGAGCAGGTTCTGAGAACTCACGACCGCAGTGCACTTCCCCAAGATGTGATCGAATTTGCGCTCAAAGGTGTTATTCGAGCTAGCCCCTCCAGATGTAATCCAGTTTTTCACTCAGAGGTCTTGTTCTGAGTATTCACGGCAGCCGTGCGTTCTCCAAGATCTTCTCCGTGCTGCACTCAATGAGCCCATTTTGAGAAACTCACGCCTCGTCCCATCATTTCAATCCCAGCGGGCAGCCTTGTGGGGGTTTGAACAGCCGGTTCCGCTTCCTTAATTCTTCGATAAGCCAGTGCCAAGCCAGCTCCGATCAGCAAGAACCCTGTTATCATGGTTCCGAATAGGTAGATATCTTCAGCAGTCAGGCTCAGCCGAGCCCAGACTTCTCGTTGAGATGGGGTGTCAATTGCATTCAGAGACCAGTTGATCGAATCCATAATTCTCTTTTAGGTTTTAGAGAACAGACTGTGAGAGAGTGTTCCAGGGAAAAGTAATACAGCAGGGAAGCTAAGGGAGAGGAGGAGGAGGAGAGGGGGACCCTGATGACCCTGTAAAAAGTTTAGCCTCAGTTTTTAGTTCTAGTTTTGACATTCTGTGCATTCAGAGGTGCTCTTCTGCATACCTTGGGTTTAACAAGTGGTTGTTTGAGATACTGCTGTCCTCCTATCAGCTAAGACCATTATCCTGAGGCCTTTAACTCAGAAAACTGCTGCTCACTGGATATTTTCTCTTTTGAACCATTCTCTGTAAACTCTACAGAGGTTGTGTGGGGAAAATCCAAGTAGATCAGAAATACTCAGACCAGCTTGTTTGGCACCAACAACCACGTTACGTTCAAAAACAAACTTTCTTTGCAATTCTGGTGCTCTGTTTGAACTACAGGAGGTCATCTTCACCAATCTATACATGCGTAAAAAATGCTTAAAAAGTGCAATTTGTGTTAGATTTCATGGTTCATGTAACCATGTAGGACAAAAACTAGCGACAGCATATGAAAGGGAACCCTTAGAGATGCACGGTGTGCAATACACTGGAATTGAAAGGATGTTGAAAAAAATCTTCAGGATATAAAAGTGTTTCATCAATATGACTATATTACAAAATGATTTTGACAGAGAAAGAATCCCAGTTAGAAGATTGGCCTGGTATGAAAATGTAAAAAGAAGGGGAAAAAAATAAAAAATATATATTTTTAAAGAAACCTTTCACAGTTACAGTTGTTGTACAAAGAAAACCATCTGATTCTGAGGGTGTCTGGTGGGAGGCACTGATTGATTTTTCAGACACATACACTGTTAAGAAAGGCTCTTTTCTAAAGCTGTTTGTTCAGCATCATCATTAGTCTACCTTTTCATTTTGGCTTCTCACAGTCACAAACAAAAGAGGACATGGACACAATTACAGTGGCTTGCTGTCCCACTGAATCTGTAGCAGACCACAGAAATGAGATTGCCTAAATGGAGTGCAAAATATGTGTCTCAAAAAAAGAATTTTTAATTGAAAACACACACAAGAAAAAGAGCAGGAACTCCCTAATATCTTCCACCTCCCTCACAAAGGTGTCGAGCAATCAGCAGCAGATTGATCCACAAATTCAGCTGGAGCGCACACATGCACACAGGTGCTGTACAGCTTCTCCCTGCTTAGTCCTTCATCTCTACTCCCTCCAGCTGTGCTTGTTAGACTCTGCCTATCCTTTCTTTTTCCTTCTCTTTCCTTTTTTTGCCTTGTGTATAAGCAAGCCACTGTGGGAGAGTGTATCCTTGTGTGTGAGAGAGTGTGCGTGGTCGTGTCAGGAGCTCAAGGCTGCATTTTTCTTCCTGCTTTGGAATAAATTACAAGGAGCTCTTTTCCTCGACCACATCAAATTCCCACAGTCCACACAAGCACACACGCGCGCGCGCCTGTATGCACACACACACACACACACACAAAAAATGTATAAATACAAAAGATGACAACATGAATGGAGAGCAAAAGCCGAACATTAAAAAGAAGA